GCGCTTTGCCCTTGGAGGTGAGGATGCTGTGGGGTTAGGGTTTAGGATTGGCGTTTAGGGTTTAGGGGTTTAGGGGTTTAGGGGTTTAGGGGTTTAGGGTTTAGGGTTTAGGGTGTGCTGTGGGGTTTAGGGCTTGGGGTTTAGGGTTTAGGGTTTAGGGCTTGGGGTTTAGGGTTTAGGGTGTAATTAGGGTTTAGGCTTTAGGGTTTAGGGTTTAGGGTTACAAGGGTTCACATAAGTTTCCAGTGGCTTTTGTCAGGCTCTGAGAAGGGTTTTTCACGGTGTGTATAAGGCTTTCTAAGACAAGATTATAGGGTATTGGGCTTCCGATTGGCTCGAACGGGTTTATGCAAGGTTTCATAAAAGTTCCAGAAGTGTTAAAAAAATGGTTTCCGACGGGTTTTGAAAGGGCATGAGCTTGCGGTGCCTTAAAGTCTTCATGCGGGATGTCTACGGAGCTTCAGAAGGGCTCACAGTGGCATGTGCAAGAGTTAGAGGTCCGGGTTGAAGGGGCTTCAGGGCTCATAAGACTCATAAGTACTACAGGTTGCTTAATTGCCTTAAGATAAAATGGAGAGTGTTTAAACCCTAAACCCTAAACCGTAAACCGTTTAGTCTAAAGAAATTCTGGGATGTTTCAAAAGGGGGCCTCAGAAGTTGTTAGGGATTTTCGGTGATCCTGCAGTTTGTAAGTTCAGAGACCCGTAAGAACCGCCGTGGAGCTTCGCGGATGCTCTACTGTACGTCTATCGGGCCCGAGAACCAGTGATATCTGCAAACTTGCTTCCGGCCTGAATCATGAGAATAGGGGTGCTTCAAGCATACTGGTGACTCTAATGCGATAACGTATCAGGACGCAAAGCTTTTTTTCGTGAGGCTCTTGCCGTGTCTGGTGAAGGCATTGGCTGGGACCCGGCGCCGTTACCCTCAGCATCTAAGCAAAGGGATGGCGAGGTTGTCACCTTCAACCGAAACACCTCAACTCCTCTACCATAGGTAGTATTATTGGGGGTACCCCTTAAAGGGTACCCCTTCTGAACCTCTTACAAGGGACCTTATTGAGAGGGTCTACATCCCCAAGGCTCCCCCTAATCCTAGCTCCCATGCCAAAGCTACTGTCTTGGCCATTCCGGATCATACGGCTAAGCCCCAAAATTATCAGAACTCAGGCAGCGCTTCCTAAACACTCTGCACAAATCCTGAACCTTACACCCTCAAGCTAAGCCCTAAAGCCTACAAAGCCGTAGGCGCTTGAGACCGAACGCCCTAAAGAAAAACCCACGCCTAGTCCCGTGCGAGTCCCCGGCGACTGGAGCTTTGCCGGTGCACTGCCACCGGGCAGGGACTTGAGAAGCCTTTCTCGGACACCCTCGCCTGCAGGAATGGGGCGCGGCTAAGACATAGGCTTTACAAACTTTGGGGTGCTGGGTCTTGGGTGTAGGATTCTAAAAATAATATATATATATATATATATATATTTGTTTATTTATTTACATATTTATTTATTTATTTATACATATATGTATGTATGTATGTCCACCTAAAACGCTGCTCAGTATCACTCTTGAACCAACCTTAACAACAAGCCTTGAGCATAGCTTGCGCTCGTCCTTGCGCGCCCTTGCGCGCGATCGAAAGGGTGTGCACGTTTTAAGCGACCGAGCTTTCGCTAATCGCCCTCCTAGTATTGTCAAAAGAATCCACCCAAAAGAACAACGCCCATATAGAGACATACAATGCCTTCCGGGCTTCTGGAAGGACATGCCAAACCACCAAGACGGAGTCCCTCAACCAGCATACCTTCTGAAAACCAGTAGGTGTTGAGCGCGTCGTGCTCTGTGTCCTTCTGAGAGACCGGGCGTTCTGTGACCGGAGCTCATAAGTTCATAGGTGTTATAAATTCATGAGGGCTGACTCCATGAACTCTGAGGGAAATCGTCTCAACACATCCTGAGCTTTCTCATCGAACTCCTGTGTCAGAGCCTAGCCCTAGGAAGTAAGCTTGAAGCCCTAGACCGTACACTCTCTGAACACGGTACGGAGCCAAATCCCTCCGAGACCCCCTGCTCTGTTCGAAGCATTTTTGAAGCGAAGGCTGTACGCAACGAACTGATCACTCCGATGCTCTGATCGATGACGGAGACCCTATGTAGAAGACGAAGACGACGACTACTACTACGACTACTAGTACTACTACTACTACTACTACTACTACTACTACTACTCCAAAACTCAAAACCCCTATAAACCCTGAACCCTAAACAAAAAGCCCTGAACTGTAGACCCGAAGCCCAAAGCCCGAAACCCTATAATCCCTATAAATCCTGAACCCTAAACGAAAGGCCATAAACCCTGAACCCTAAACGAAAAGACCCTAAGCAATAAGCCGGAAACCCTATAAACCCTGAACCCTCAACGAAAACACCCTAAACCCTAAGCCCGAAACCCAATAAACCCTGAACCCTAAGCGAAAAGCCCTGAACTGTAGACCCTAAGCCCAAAGCCCCAAACCCTATAATCCCTTTGAACCCTGAACCCAACACGAAAAGCCCCTAAGCCCTAAGCCCTAAGCCCGAAACCCCATAACCCCTGAACCCTAAGCGAAAAGACCCTAAGCCCAAAGCCCGAAACCCTATAATCCCTATAAATCCTGAACCGAAAACCCCCTAAGCCCTAAGCCCGAAACCCCGTAACTCCTGAACCCTAAGCGAAAAGACCCTAAGCCCTAAGCCCGAAACCCTATAATCCCTATAAATCCTGAACCCTAAACGAAATACCCCTAAGCCCTAAGCCCGAAACCCCGTAACCCCTGAACCCTAAGCGAAAAGACCCTAAGCCCTAAGCCCGAAACCCTATGATCCCTATAAACCCTGAACCCTAGACAAAAAGCCCCTAAGCCCTAAGCCCGAAACACCATAAACCCTGAACCCTAAGCGAAAAGACCCTAAGCCCTAAGCCCGAAACCCTATGATCCCTATAAATCCTGAACCCTAGACAAAAAGCCCCTAAGCCCTAAGCCCGAAACACCATAAACCCTGAACCCTAAACAAAAAGACCCTAAGCCCCAAACCCTAAACCCTAAACCCAACGACCCTAAACCCTAAACCCAAAGACCCTAATTCCTAAACGAAAAGCCCCTAAGCCCTAAACGAAAAGCCCCGAAGCCCTAAACCCGAAACCCTATAATCCCTATAAATCCTGAACCCTAGACAAAAAGCCCCTAAGCCCTAAGCCCGAAACACCATAGACCCTAAACCCTAAACCCAAAGACCCTAAACCCAAAGACCCTGAACCCTAAAACCCAAAGACCCTAAACCCTAAACCAAAAGCCCCTAAGCCCTAAACGAAAAGCCCCTAAGCCCTAGGCCCTAAACCCTATAATCCCTATAAATCCTGAACCCAAAACCCCAAAACCCCAAAACCCCAAAACCCCAAAACCCTAAAACCCTAAACCCCAAAACCCCAAAACCCCAAAACCCTAGGCCCTAGAGCCTTCCCGCGCCTTCGGCAAAGGTCCCAGGGCCCCAAGGGCCCACGCAGGGCCCCGACTCGAGGATGACCCGGTGGAAAAGTCCTGGAAGGGTTTAGGGTTTAGGGTTTAGGGTTTAGGGTTTAGGGTTTAGGGTTTAGGGTTTAGGGGACTCTGACTTTGGGTGTAATGCAGGGCCTTGGGGTTTTAGGGTTTAGGGTTTCAGGGCTTAGGGTTCAGGTCTTAGGGTTTAGAGTTGAGGGTTTAGGGTTCAGGGTAGGGGTCTAAATAATTACCTATACTGTTT